TTTACTGCTAAATACTATGTTTCATGAACCCTGTAAAACCTGACGTGTAGTACTTCTATTGTCATGTGCTTCTAAATATTTCGTAATTTCCTTTATGATTTACTCTTTAGGAATTTTTTAATAGGTAAAACATGCACATCTTAATACATTTTTTTGCGCATATATTATATGTCAGATATTTGGGATACAGAAATGAAACATAGGGATCTTACTCTCAGCAAACTCTAAAGACTAACGTTTATAGATATTACAGTTGTAAAGGGTATTTCCTGTTAATGGCAGTACATTAAGCAGGTTTCTGATTGAGTCAGCCTGTATGTTTACTGATCAAGTTTACTAGTAGAAGGCCCTGGCCAAATGAGGCCAAGATTAGCATTCAGTATAGGTGCCATAAATCATCCTCTCTTTGTTCCTGGTACAGCTAATCTCAGTCAGTAATTTTGTAAACAGTTACCTTGATACGGGAAAAAATAATGCAACTAGGTCACATATTTTTATACCATGGGGCTCTCTAGAGTGTAATAAACATGGAACGTAACCCTTGATAATCTTGCAATATTCAGTCTAGGTTATCATTTGTATCTGGATTTGGTATGATGGAAGGAAGAAAAGAGAAAAGTAAAAGAAAGAGAGTAGGAGGGAGGGAGGGAGGGAGGAATGAAAGAAGGAAAGAAGGAAGGAAGGAAGGAAGGAAGGAAGGAAGGAAGGAAGGAAAGGAGGGCAGGCCCATTTGCTTTTTACTTCAAGAGGAATGAAAGATGTGGCAGTGTCTGTAGCAAGAAAGAGAAATCACAGAGAAAATGCTCCCTTGAAATACCATAGTAGTTACTGCAGAAAAGAATCTGTTCAAATGTTTCTTCGAGAACCTCCATTCGCAGCAAAACAACTGAACAAATTTGGAGGGTTTGCGCTATCCTACTTCAAGACTTATTATAGTTACAATAATTAGTACAGTGTGTTATTCACAAAAGGCTAGGCACACAGATCGATGAAACAGTGGAGACAGTTAAGAAGTAGAGACCTACACAAATACAGAGACTGATTTTTGCCAAGGATATTAAGGTAATTCAATGAAGAAAGAATATTTCTGTCAACGAATGTTTCTGGAAAAACTGCAAAACAAACAAACACCAAAAAAAAAAAAAAACCACCTTTGAAACATTCTTTACAACTTATACAAAAGTTAAATCAAACTAAATATAAAAGGTAAAATTATAAAACTTCTCAAAGAAAACATAGGAAAAAAATTTTGTGGTCTTGGGTCTGGTAAAGAGTTTTTCACTATAACATCAAAAGCACAGTTCATAGGTCTGTGAACATTAGGGAAAGCCGGGTGAAGGGTATATATAAATCGTCTGTACTGCCTTTACAATACATCTCTGTGTCAAAACTATTTCAAAATCAGTTAAAAATGTAACCATACAAACTGGACTTGTTTAAGGCACTCTCTCTATTCTAATTGGTTGAGAGCCTTCTTCATGAGTTTCCTTGGTTAGAAGTACACTTAACTACATCCGGGATATGCTATTTAGATACTGGTCCACCAGTCCTACTTCAAAAGATCATCTCTTCACCTAAGAAGGTGACTTCACCCTGCTTCTGACTGCCTCCTGGAGTCTCCAGCACAATACCCTTCTTCCATCGCAGGAAGTAACTCCGCCATAAGCTGTGACAAGCAGAGCCTCTCCTGCAACGTCTCTGAGGGTGTCCGCAGCCCCTGTTCCTGCCCACTGCCTCTTTGCAGCACCCCAACACTGTGAAGCCCAGCCTATGCCTGGGGTCCTTCCAGCCCTGGGACCCCTTCCTCTGTGCTCTGTCCCCTACCAGCGTTTCTCTCACAGACGTTTTCCAAAGAACGGCTGTGCTCTCGTTCAGCCGCACTGTCCAGGCTCCCACACTGGACTTGGGCCTGCAGAAGTCCAAGCTCTGCGGGGAGTGGAACTGCCATGTCTCCGCATCCCTCCATTATAAAGAACTTCGCCGCACTGGGCAGCAAGCATCTGTGTGCCGCCTCCTGGGGGTGAGGCCTATGCTAGGCGCTGGCAATGGGTTGCAGTGACGAGCAAAACAAATGAGGAGAAAGGCCTCCGACCCTAAGGGACCATGTCCCAATTCCCTTCACTCTTACAAGCCAGAGTGAGCAGAAGGAAGGGAGAGCCAGTGACAAGAAAAAGCCTCTCTAAAACCCAATGGGAAGTCCTGAGATCCTCCAGGCCTACACATACGGGAAGGTGGAAACGACCAGAGGGTAGCGCTTACTATCCGCAGATTGAAAGACGAGATGGTGAAAGTCATAATGTGAAAAGAGGACAGAAATGGAGCCATCTTATAACAGAGCTAGAAAGGCCATTCCAGAGGAACTGCCTCGCACGCCTTATTCCTCAAAGCTTCGGAATGCTTGAACTGGGCAAAATAACCTCCGGACTGAGCCACGCCGACACTGTCTTCCAAATGACAGAAAAGCTAACTGGAAAGCAGGCCTGACTACAAGGCGGATGATTGCCAGCATCCTCTAGAAGTAGCACCGCGTGGGCAGCTACAAAATAACTAGCTTATTTGCACCTTTAGAAATTCCTCCCTCGAGTTATTAACACCAAGAGGAATTTATGTAATTATTCCTCTTCCCTTTCTCATAAAGCTCCTTGCCTTCACCCCATAATTGGAACAGTATTTGGGTTTCTGCCTGAATCGATGCTTCCCAAAAAGCTGTTCTTTGATCTCAAATACACGTTTGTTGTCTCTCGCTTTGGCTTTTTTATTTTTAGGATTAATAATAACTTATGTAAACAGTTAATTAGGCCAGAAAACCTTCATGGGTTTTCTCTTTGTTTTAAAGGGAAAACCAAATATTATAAAGATTTTCAGAGACATCTCTATTGTGCAGATGAAGAAATTGAGAGTAAATAACTTGGCCAGTCATACACCTCGCGGTTGACGGAGCTGAGATCCAAACCCAAGCCAGCTGGCCCGAGTCCGCCTTCCTACCCACCGACCTTCACATTAGAATTGCATCATTATCATTAGAGTTATATACATACATAAAAGTTAGTTTACTTTGAATTAAGAAGTCTATTTATCATCAAGTGCTCCATGCTTACACTTTAAAATCAGAAACAACTCCCCCAAGATAAAAGTGATTCATTTCTTCATCTCTTTTGGTTTTAGTATTCCTAAACAGATCAGGTGGCTTGGAGGATTGTTTTTACCCTAATATTGATTAGCCTACCTTGTAAAAGAATGAAGAAACTTTTCCTTCAACACTTACTTTCCTAGTATTTTGTTTAAATTGAAGGTAAATGTGTGTTTGTGTGTGTAATCATTTATATATAACTAAAGAAATTTATTATCTCTCAAGTAATTTATTTTGCAAACAAGGTCTACCTCCTAAAAATTAGTATCTTCTTGCTTTATTATTGTGATGCAGTGATTTGTAATTTTAAAAACATATATGTGGTTTTGTCCTTGTTTCTAGCATGAGCTCCTAAAACCCTTGGAATTTCTTAAGTGAAGAGAGATAAAAGACGTCTTTTGTTATGTTAATGAGATGACTTTTGGACAGCACCTCAGGCTGGGGGCTGGCTGCCAGAAGAATGGACCATGTGATTAGAGGGTTTGAGCTTTCAGCCCTACACCCTACCCACCCCCCACCTCAGGGGAGGGGGAAGGGGCTAGAGATTGAGTTCAACCACCAAAGGCCAATGATTTAATCAATGGTGCCCATGTGCAGAAGCCTCCATAAGAACACAAAAGGACTGGGCTCAGAGAGCTTCGGTGTTGGTGAGCGGCAGAGGTGCTGGCAGCGTGGCTCCCCTCCCACACACCTACCCCCAGGCATCTCCTCCATCTGGATATTCGCCTGTATCCTTTATCATATCTTTTATTAATAAACAGGAAAATGTAAGTAAATTGTTTTCTTGAGTTCTGCGAGCCACTCTAGCAAATTAATCAAACTTCAGCAGGGAGTCATGAAAACCTTTGATTTATAGTTGATGGCTGCGAAGCACAGGTGGCAACCGGGACTTGCAGTTGGTATCTGGCATGGGGGTGGCGGGAGGAGCAGCCTCATGAGACTGAGCCCTTAACCTGTGGGATCTGATGCTATTTCTAGGTAGATAGTGTTGTAACTGAATTAAATTGTAAGACACCCAGAATTGCTTGGTGTGGGGAATAAAAAACCCACTTGGTGACCAGAAGTGTCAGAAGTATAGTGTTCTGTGTGAGCAGAAAAGGACGTTTCATAGGTGAAAAACTATTTTTCTTTTTTAACTCAAGTATTCTTCCCTTAAATAGTGAAGACACCATAAAAGACTATCAGAAAGAAACGTGACAGTCAAGGCAGCCCCGCATTTGGCCATTAACATGCACAAAAGCGTCCAGAGGTCTGGAAACTATATCACAGTGGGTAAGCACATGGAGTCTGGGGCCAGCTGGCTTGGGTTTGAATCCCAGCTCCGTCAACCTCTAGGAGTATGACTTTGGACAAGTTACTTATTCTCAGTTTCCTCATCTGCAAAATGGTGATAATAAAAGTACATTCTTCACAGGGTTATTGTGAGACTTAAATGTGGTAATAAATATCAAGTGTTTGAACGGTGTCTGTCTAGCACATCGTAAGAGCCATAAGATACATATATCTTTGAAGTTATTTTTATTTTTAATGAGTTCTCTGAAGTCAGAAGTGGAACTAAGTTAAATGGTGACTTGGTGGGCAAATGTGTGAGTTGACCGGAGCTAGTAAAGAACACAACTCTGAAACCATGTTAGCAGTCTACAAAGCAGTCTCTGCCCAAGTCCCTCCCTGGGTCCCGTGATTAAACTAACACCAACATGTCCGAAGGCGTGTGGGAGAGGTCTAGAAACCAAATCCCTCCATCATTTGCATCTCCAGATTTAGAGCTAAGAATTCTGAGATAAACAAATGGAGTGAATTTGGAAACGCTGCATCAACTGCTTCCTCCTGTGACATGAATAGTGGGAGCTATCAAGGACCGGCCCATCAAATGCTGGAGAGACACTTTCCTCCAGACACCAAAGAGGAGTAAGGATTCAGGATGACCAAAACCTGCAGTCCCCCAGAAAATGAGTTGTCATCATTCCACGTCATCTTAACTTTCACAATTATAGGCACTGAATGCGTTATTGGTATTGCTGCAAATGGGTTCATTATGGCTGTAAATGCAGCAGAATGGATTCAGAATAAGGCAGTTTCTACAAGTGGCAGGATCCTGTTTTTCCTGAGCGTATCCAGAATAGCTCTTCAAAGCTTCATGATGCTAGATATTGCCTGCAGCTCAAAATTACCACGCCTTTATAATAAAGGTGTTTTATATAATACATTCAAAGTAAGTTCCATATTCTTAAATTATTGTAGCCTCTGGTTTGCTGCCTGCCTCAGTTTCTTCTACTTTGTGAAGATTGCCAACCTCTCCCACCCACTTTTCCTCAAGCTGAAGTGGAGAATTGCTAAGCTGATGCCCTGGCTTCTATGGCTATCGATATTCATTTCCTTGGGCTACAGCAGTCTCTTCTGGAAAGGCATCTACTCTATACACTGTAGCAACTCATTTCCTGGCGCCTCGTCCAACTCCACTAAGAAAAAATTTTTCACTGAGACCAACGTGGCCAACCTGGCTCTTCTCTACAACCTGGGGGTCTTCATTCCTCTGACCGTGTTCATCGTGGCGGCCACCCTGCTGATCATCTCTCTCAGGAGACACACGCTACACATGGAGAGCAAGGGCACCGGCTCCGGGGACCCCAGCATGGAAGCTCACATGGGCGCCATCAGAGCCATCAGCTACTTTCTCATTCTCTACATCTTCAACGCGGTTGCTCTGTTTCTGTCCATGTCCAACATCTTTGACGCCAACAGTTCCTGGAATATTTTGTGCAAAACCATCATGGCTGCCTACCCTGCTGGCCACTCAGTGCTACTGATCTTGGGCAATCCTGGCCTGAGAAGGGCCTGGAAGCGGCTTCAACACCAAGTCCATCTTTACCTAAAAGAGTAAACTCCATGATGGACACCACAAGACCAGCACAGAGCCAGCCCGACCAGCTCTGCCTTTCCCCACTGAGCCTTCTCTTTCACACCCGCTTCCTTCCCCAAACCTGATCGGCCCCTTTCACCTGGTGCTGCTTTTTCGTGTAGGAGCTTGACCTCCATTTCGCTTGTTTGCTTCATAGGCATAATTTTAGTGATGTTTAATTTTTTTTTTCCACCTGATCCTTCTATTTACCTGATCCTTCTATGTCTACCTCCCTTGCTCTATATAAAGCAATGATTCTAGCCACTGGCTCCAAATGAGAAGCTCATTTGGAGGGTTTCGGAAATCCCAATGTCCAGTCTTGACTCTAGATTGACTAAGTCAGAATTTCTGGAGTTGGAACTTGGACAAGTTTTTAAGTTCCCGGGATGATTCTGAGATGCAGCCAGAGTGGATACAGCCACCAAAATAAAGGAAGACTTTGCACTTTAAGCTCCTGGCAACTTTTCTCCTACCCCATCCACATGCCTTTTATTCAAGAAGCTGGAAATGCAGTTTGTCTCCATTCTCCAAAGACATAACCTGAATGATAGGAAATATCTATCAAAATTGACAGTACATAAAACACCCTTTAATCTAAAAATTACTAAGGATTTGTCCCATAGACAAGGTATGGTCAGACTTATACACATATGTGAAAATATGTACAGGAAGATCTTCATTGCAGCATTATTCATTAATGAGGGGACTTATATATCTGAAATGGAATACTGCATAAACATTTTAAAAGTGAGACAGATACATGTGTCCTAAAATGAAAATATTTCCAATAGGTTGTTAAGTACAAAAAGCGAGGAGATATTTTATAATTCCATTTATATTCTTTTATATTCTTTTAGGAAATATACATTTTCTTGTGTACATACATATATCTATAAAATTTCTGGAAGGGCGTACCAAAAATGATTAATAGAAGACTTCTGAATAGTGGCATTGGGCAACTGGGGTAAATGAAATATTTACGCTACATTTTCCACTTTTCTGTATTGTTTGAACTATTTAGAATATATATGCATTAATTTCAAATTTTTAAAAACTTTATATTGATTTTTTTTATAAGAGAACTAGGTAAATAGGAAAGGTTTGAGGGAGAGAATTACGTAGCTTAATTAGTTGATCGAGCTTCTCACTATGTTTGTTTTTATAAAAAAATGCAAACCCCCCAAATCATGAATTAAACATCTCACTATCTCTTATTTTCTATTTTATTCATTCACACAAAGGCTGCCAGGCAAAGGTCATGGGCTTTCGATCCATTGGCATATCTATATTCTCTGTCTCTCTCTTGACTTCCCTTCATATCCAGTGTGGATAACTGGTTAAGCATTATACCCGCACCCCTATACTTCCGGTAATTACAGATGGAGTGAGATTATGTCTGAGATTGGCGTTAAGATCATTTGGCAGAGGGCAAAGGAGTGAAGAGTAGAAAGGTTTAGGTTAGTCATACGTGGGTGGTTTCTTTCAAAAAAGGTCAAGGGCGTTCTCTATTTCAAAGTATGTTTGAATTTTCCCTAACACAATTTTTTACATAAATGAATGATAAAACACTCTGATTTCCTGGCTCCTCCGCCCTGCATTGCCATGCTGTGGCAGATTCCACATCTAGATGAAATCCACTATCTCACCTGTACGTTTCCTTCTCAGCAGCCTAGTTATGAAATACTTTAGAGTATGGATTTATGTTCCTACAGGTTTACGTGCTCAGTCTCAAATAAGTAAAATCAGTGGACATTTCTATCGTGTGAGAAGTCACTCATTAACTGCCCAAAATGACGCCCTCCTATCTTTTCCTTAGTCCTGAAACCTCCAACCCCTCTCCTCTCTGTTTTATCTTCCACTGATGAAGTTGCCTGAACATTCCTTGATAAAAGTCATTAGAAGGACATTTCATCATCTTCTCGTTAACGAATCTACAAAACCATCGATTTTCTTCTACATCCCTAATATTTCAATAGAAAGAGTGCCCTTCTATGCTGAAAGTAATCAGAAATACGGTAACTATTTTTCTCTTCCCTCTACATTTCTCCTTCCTATAAGTTCCTTTTTGTGTGTGTTTTCTTTCTTTCGTGATTGAGCCTTTCCTAAAATATTTGGTGGTCCTTCAACGTCAGCATTAAGAAGCTGACTGCAAAATTTAAAATTAATTTTTAAAAATCTGTTACAATCTAAAAACTGTATTGAAACCTGTAGGCAAGAGCATCTTAAAAGTAGCACATTCAAAACTGGATTCTTAGTTTTTCTCCCCAAATACAATCCTCCTCCGGTTTTCTCCAACTTCCTAATATTAAATAGCACTGCAATATTTTCCATTGACGAAGCTAGAATTCTGGGAACCATCTATGAGTCTGTTTTCACTCTGCCCACACCCTTCATTCAATTAATCAATTTGTCCTTTATTTCTATTATGTTCTATATATATATATCAAGCCTACTTCCTTCCTGTGTCCTAGGAGTGTTTTGTTTTGAGTTTTCGAAAGTCATGCTCTATAAATGGGAGACATTTTTTCTTTTATACTACCAAGATCTTTCCACTCCGTCCGTGTGTGTGTGTTTCTGAATTTTAGATAGCTTTTATGAAATTCTGATAACCCTTTTGAGGATTGTTTATTAATTTAACAATTATTGATGAACACCAGTATGGCAGGCACTACTCTAAGTGCTAGGTATACGGTATTGAGCGAAATAAACTGGGCTCTTGTCATCACAGATCTGTTTTAGTGGGAAAGCACGGAAATAAAACGGGATAAACAAGCTGTGGTGGCGGTGGCGGTGGTGGCGGTGGTGGCGGTGGTGGCGGTGGTGGCGGCGGCGGCAGCGGTGTTACATCAACCTAACCAGGAAGGGTCTGTGTGAGTAAGTAAGGTTTAAAGAAGAAATAATTTTAAAAATCATAAACCCAAACCAAGAATTTAGAAGAAGAATTACAAAATAAATCTAAGGAAAACACAATTCATTAAATATTAATTTCATAAAATTCAAGATCAGAAAAGAGAGAATTAAAAAATAAGAATTGGCTCACTGAAAAAAAAACATAAAATTAGTATTATTTGCTTATATAATTGAGAAAGACAAAAATCATAAAATACACAAAATAAGAAATAAAGGAAAAATTACAACAGTTTGGAGAAATTACAATACTCCTAGGAAACTATCTTGTTCAACTCTGTGTAAGAGTCTTAAAACCTAAATAAGATAGGTGTTACTAGAAAAATGTAATTTACTAAAATTGACTCCGAGAGGTACAAAACAAAATCCAAATAGAATAATCATTCAGTTGAACTAGAGATATCGTCAAGAGCCACAACTCAAAAATTGCCAGGATCAAATGTTTTCACAAAGAAATTCCACAGACTTTTAAAAAGTAGATTATTTCAAGGCTATGTACATTGTTCACAGCATAAAAATTAAGGAAAGCTTCCAAATTTGTTTTATAAAGTGAATATAATTATCAAAACATAACAAAAACTGTCTCCGAGAAAACTACAAAGCAACCTCACCTACCAATATTTATACAAAAATACTAAATAAAATTCAACAAAGAAACCAAAAAACAAGTTTATTGCATAAAAGTAAAGATGGCTTAGCATTAGAAAATATATCAATGTAACTTATCATATTAACAACACTAAGGAGAAAAATCACGTAATAATTTTCATAAATACTTTTTTAAAATGAGAAAATTCAACATCCATTTTAATTATTTTTTAATTTAAATTGCCGTAATAAGATACATCTATCTTCACCCTAATAGCCAGCATCATTCCTAAGGAGGAAACATTATTTTTCTATTAAATTAAGGAAAAAGACAAAGATGTTCAACTTTACCCTATTAATTAATGTAGTTCCTAGAAACTAATTAGAAAAGAGAAATAAAAGTAGTTTTAAAAATTGGAAGATAAAAGTTAGAAGTATTATTATGTGCAGATGATATGATAGCATAAATACGGGAACTTAAAAGAAATAGAAAAATTATTACAAACAGTAAGAGCATGAAATATAGAAGGGAGAAATCCTTATAAAGAGTAAAAAAAAGATAAAATACTATAATATTAACAAAAAACAAGCAAGACCTATATGAAGACTACTTTAAAATGCCTCTGAGGTACCAAACAGAAGAATTGAACAAGTAGAAAGAAAGGCTATCCATCATATTGTTGAGTAGAAAAAGTCAATGTCATAAATAAATAACATTTTGTTAATTAATTGTGCATTTATTAATAATTTATTAATAATTTTCCATAAATAAATCAATACTTGGCGTATTTTGACACACATGCCAGAGATTTTCTAAACAAGCTGATTATAAACATTATTTGCAGACATAAAGCAAGAAAAGCTAGAAACATTCTGAAAACTAAAAAGAAAAGGGAGAGGATTAACTTCGTGAGATGACAAGCATGTTATGAAGCTTGACATAATCAAAATGATGTGACATTGGACAATAAATAGCCAACGAAATCTAGTAGGATGTCTAGAAATATAAGAATTTAGTATATAAATGGTACTGCAAATCAGTAGGAAATGATGGATTAATCAATAAATGGTACTGGAAGAACTAGATAGGTACCTGGAAAAAGATAAATTTAGATGCATCTTTCACATCTTAAACCAGGACAAATTCCAAATGGATCAAAGACAATGTAAAAAACATTATGAAGTACTGGTAGAAATCTTGAAGATTTCAAATTTGGGGTTTGGGGAAGCAAGCATAAAATAGTTTATTAAATTTGATTACATAAAATAAAAAGCTACTACCTGGCAAAAACTACCACAAGCCAAGTCATAGACAAATTAAAAACTGAGAAACAGTATTTGCTGCTCACATCCCACAAAAAGACTAATTTTGCTAGTATATAAAGAGCTCATGCAAATCAGTAAGATCAATTACTAAATCTAAACATTAATGAAGAATATGACAGAAAATGGCAGTGATAGAAAATGAAATAAGAATGATTCAAAAA